ACCGTGGAGGTTGGCTGCCACCATCACACCCTGGGCACACGTGCCACACCTTGTGCCCGGATCGACACTGGATCTTCATGAGCACGACGGCTCTGCTGGTGGCTAGCGTCCCCCCGTCGTACGGATGAAGAAACGTGAAGCATCTCAGCGAGCGTGAGCCTCCGGCCTGCTGTCTTATAGACGGAGGGGGTGCAGGTGGGATTCGCAGCGAGGCCCGACCGTCCCTGCAGCCGGAGGAGCTCAGCACTCCGCTCGGCTTTGATTCTTACCCGACGGCACCAGACGCTTCTCGCAGTGGAGCAGCAACCTACACTGCGGATTGAACTGGGAGATCAATGCAGATTTGATGACAGAGAGAGTCCTCTACCGATACACGGGGACCCCAGCCGGCTGCGCGAGGGGCGAGGAGATGCCACCGCTTGGGCCCGTCTAGGCTTCTTCTTCCTCCTGCTGCTCTCCTGCAGCTCCCTCTGTCCTTGCTGGGCCATCCAGACTGCCTCGTATCTGGACCCTTACGCCCTGGGATCATTCCCAACCTTGCCTGCAGTTTCTCACGTCTCAACAATCAAATACTTTGTCAAATATATTTCCTCGTTCTCAGGGATCACCTTATTTGATTAATCACTGTGTAGATCTGAACAAATCATGGGACTTTCAGAGGTGTGTTCATTTTCCAGTTCTCGAGAACTGTCTGCAGTGTGTGATTTTTCTCTGAGCTTTGTTGCCCCAGAAGGAAGCTCCCTGCGATGGTCCTTAAATTCCTTTTAAAAAGTGAGAAAAGAGCAAGGAAACCATCCCAGACCCGTGACTGCACCAGGCTTCAGCAGCCCCTAGTTTGCTCTTCACTTCATTCATTCGTTTGGGCCACAGAGACACAGCTTGGAGCTGGAGGGTCTTTATGTGAAGAAACGACTTTTGTTCACATTCTTTTTTTTTTTTTGGCGGCACGCGGGCCTCTCACTGCTGCGGCCTCTCCCGTTGCGGAGCACAGGCTCCAGACGCGCAGGCTCAGCGGCCATGGCCCACGGGCCCAGCCGCTCCGCGGCATGTGGGATCCTCCCAGACCGGGCACGAACCCGCGTCCCCTGCATCGGCAGGTGGACTCTCAACCACTGCGCCACCAGGGAAGCCCTGTTCACATTCTTTAAAAGCACTAGTAACACATATTTTGTTCTGCTTCAACGTTATAATTGTGGTCCGTAAAAACCCCCCCTATGAAGCTCACGTGGTAAAATTTACCCTTTCGTTTGCCAGAAGGGGACTTAGAAGGGCTTGAATAGCGTTAGTGGCCGTAAAGGGGCTGCAGAGGTGGTCTGTGTTGATGGCTATTCGCTTGATGTGTTACACCGACTACAGCTCATAAATTGATTGGTTACAAACTCTGAACGAGAGAACGAAAGTCCTCACGTCGTTGAGGCCGTCCTGCAGAGCACATGGATCCAGGTAGGACCTACCAGGAGCCGGGAGGCAGGTCTGGGCCAGGCTGCCTGGCGTCCCTCATCCCGTTTCCTCCATGCCCGAGAGGGCTCACGCCCTGCACCCTCTCAGCTTGCCAAGCAGGGCCTGCCTCTCTCTAATTAAGTGATCCATTGCTCCTCATTTGCAGCAGGAAAATGCAGAGTTGGAGAAATGCCACGCGTGCCAGTCTCCGTGTGCATTTACGGTAGTTACCAGAAGTGTGTCTGGGCAACTCTTGGCGTCCGTGAATTCCTCACACATGGCGTGTTCCGGAACCAAGGGAGCTCAGAGCACAGGAAACTCAATTCACTAAAATTCAGCATCATGACAGAAAGCACGTCAGATGCGCGCCATTCCTTCTGTCCTGGCTCTCAGCCTGTAGCTGCGAGTCACCTGGGGGCCTGTAAACCGCAGGTGGCCGGCCCTGCCCCCCACCCCCAGCGGCTCTGATGCAGTAGGTCTGGGGCGGCTCCTGGAAGTTGGTGTTTCCCGCAAGTCCCTAGGATGCTGCTGCTTCGGGGACCAGACTTTGGGAACCATGTGCTGGACTGTTTCCCGAGGGGAGGGACCACGTTATCGTCTGGCCATCTCTAGCCCTGGCTTGGCGCCTGCACCTGGTTACCTCTCGATACCTGACAATGACAGCAGGATGGAGAACCAGCTCTTATTTGGGACCTACGATGCGCTCGCCCCCGAGGGAAGAACCTTACAGGGATTACCTCGTGGAATTCTCACCCCATCAGGGAGACACTAATCCTGTCCCCGTGGCCCAGAGAGAACCGCGGAGCCCTGGAGAGTTGCGGTAACACGCCTGCAGTCACACGCCAGTGTGGAGGGGGCCAGGAGAGGCGTTCGGGGGGCTGAATTGAAAAACTGAGATCCTCAGGCAATGTTCTCTTCTTTGCCATTGTTTGCAAGTTCTTATCAAGTCCTTGCCAAGGATAAACCCAGGAATAGTTTACAACTCGAGAATCCTATACAAATTCAACAGAAAAGTTTTCAGATTGGTACTGAGGGAGAAAAAATACTGAGCAAACCTGCCTTTGCATCTGGTGGGTGGCTTCCCGTGGACCCGGGTGTCGAGGGAATCACCTTCGTGGGGCAGCTCCCAAAGCTGCTTCTCAAGACTCCTTTTGCTCCCGCTGAGGTGGGCATCTGTGACACCCTCTGCTGGGTCCCAGCAGCTGCCTCTACAGAGGGTCCTGGAAAGTGCTCACCTGCTCAGAGAACCACAGCTTTCCCCAGTCTGTCTCCTGACTTAGCCGAGGATCCCAACTTGTCCTGTGGGCAGTCGTATCTCCTGTCTCCTCTGTAACCAGCCCTCCCAAGGGCTGGACCAGCTCCAGCTGCCCAAAGCCGGGGAGGGAGCCTCTCAAAGCCCAAGACGAGTGGAGACCCTCGAGGGCAGGTCCACCAATGCGCTCGGGTCCGTCCACATGTCCCCAGGAGAGTGCTTTGAGAGAGCATCCCAGAGCGGAATACCCAGGCGTTTTAGACAGAATTTCTTCCTGCCAGCGTTACCCCTGGGGGTCAAATGCTGGCGTCCCTTCAGACAGCCTGTGGCCTCTTAGTTATGTGCCCCTAACGTGCCAATGAGGGGCAACCACCGAATGCCCTGTCGGTGTGTCTGTGGAAGGTGATGGGCTCCCGCCCTGCTGAGATCTGTGTTTGGCACCGAGATCCCTCCGTCCTGCAAACTCCTGGGAGTGTTTGCTTCTCTGCAAAAGTTGGATTCTACGACTGCTGCTTAATTTCCTAGTTAGTGATTATCAAGGAACTGGCGTGTGACTGCAGCGAAACACTGCAGAATGCAGAAGACTTCCTGCCGCTCTGGCACATGGCCTGGGTTACTCACATTGGTCCTGCTGTTGTTTCTGGGAAGATTTATGGCGTGAGTGGTCTTCCCTTGCCTCTGCCCCCCATGCCCAGCAGCAGGAGGAGCTGCAAGGAAAGTAAGTTAACTTTATCTACATCATCTCTGCGTAAACTATGGTCTTCAGAGTCAGATTGCCTGGATTCCAGCTCTGGCCCTGCCGCTCACTCACTGTGTGATCTCAGGCAAATTACTAAGCTGCTCTGTGCCTCCACGGTCTCACCTGTGAAATGGGGATCATACTGGCCCCCAGTTCCTAGGGTTCCTTGAGGACTCAGTGTTGATGCTCGTGAAGCGCTTAGGCAGATTCCGGCGTAAACACTCCAGATGTTGTTGTCGTTATTACTAAATGCTTAAAATCGGAATCAAAGTATCAGCTGAAAAAGTCTTTGTGCAAGGTTAGGAGCTGGAGGGGGTGCCTGGTGTTTTGGAATCCTTGCCAACCAGGCAATTACAGTTTAATAGAAGAGAGAGAACCACACATGTACGGAGAGAGACGTTAGCTGCGTTCTCCTTACAAGTGGGAATGTAGGCTTGGCGCTTCCATGAAAGGTGGGCAGAAGCTTCCTGGGACAGAAAAATGCAAGATAACAAATGATAAAGAGGAAGTAGGAGTTGTCTCAGGCTTGCTTTTCTTTTTTTTTAATTATGAAAGCAACGAAGGCCCATTGGGGAATATACAGGGATGTTTAAAGCAGAAATAAATCACTTAAAACTCCTCCACCCAGAGAAAACCATTGTTAATTCCTTAACAGATTTCCTGTTTTTGGCTTTTGAGAAAAGCTGGGCACATGGGCCCTGGGAAAGGATGGCTCAAATGCCTGGGAGATCCGACCCGTGTACCATGTGGCCGGCCTCAGGCAGACAGGGTCCACGCTGGCGGGCGTGCACGGAGCCCAGGACTCTCAGAATCATAACCAACCTCCTTTTCCCTCCTTGCCAGGCCCAGCCTGTTCAGGGCTGAGTCTTGAAGCATCAGAAAGCATGTAAGGTCACCAAGAAAGCAGTTGTCTGAGTTCTTTTAGGGAAAACAGCTGATGAGAAACTGATTTGGGGGTTTTAAAGTTTTTGTTTCGCGTGTTTGGGGTGTTTTAACCACATGGTGAAGAATCCCTCTCATTCCCCGCCCGTGAGATGACAGTCACCGTAGCCACGCCGGGCTTGCCTCTCCAGGGGAGCAGGCCTTCCCAAATGAGGGTGGACCCCCTCCTAGAGCGCTGTGCTGCCTTACACACTCTGGTGGAAATGGCCATTCCGGAAGTGGATTTGCGCGAAGGCCAGCAGACAAGCCTACCTGAATATTAGGCGATATATCAGCCTTTTGAAAGCTACAGAAACATTTGACTCCTGTTTGTAAATTCCGGTCAGTTGTCTTGAACAGCACAGATCCTACTGTTGTCCCCTGTGACACAGCAGGGGATCCAGTTACTCCAACTTCTGTCTTTTTTTTTTTTTTTTTTCAGTACGCGGGCCTCTCACTGCTGTGGCCTCTCCCATTGCGGAGCACAGGCTCCGGACGCGCAGGCTCAGCGGCCATGGCTCACGGGCCCAGCTGCTCTGCAGCATGTGAGATCTTCCCGGACCGGGGCACGAACCCATGTCCCCTGCATCGGCAGGTGGACTCTCAACCACTGCGCCACCAGGGAAGCCCTGTCTTTTTTTTTTTATGTGTATTTTTATATAGTCAATGTTTGGCCCATTTTGTTGGTTTCTAACATTCCGTGCAGACTTGTCCAGATGTTTGCAGAGGGACCAGATGCTCCTAGGATAGTATCAACTTCTTTTTCCATGCCAGCCTGCCTGACCAGGTTTATGAGAGCCCCTAGATGGGGTCAGGGGTCTGAAAGGAGCTGAAACTCATTCACAGGGTGAGAGGGGTGGAGGCAGAGGCGAGGCCTAGGGGCTGCCGTGCGAGGTGGGGTCTCTGCACCCTGTGCCCAGATGGTTCCAGGGCCCATCCTGCGTCCTCTGTCAGCCCCTGGTGTCTGCAGCGCGCACGCAGAGGGGTTTGTAAAGGCCCCGACCCTGGAGCTGGCCCTTGGTGGCTCTGAGCCCACCTCCTCTGGATTCTTCAGCAGACGAGTCTGGAGGCTCCGTTCCTGATGAGGGTCAGGCCCTCTCATTGCACTGGGGAGGGGACATTCGGAGCCTCGGGGTCCAGGGAAGGGGCAGAGGGGAGACAGGGATGAGAGGAAGATGTTTGCCTTGACGGAAGCGGGTGAGTGGTCAAGCTGTGGTGAGGTGAGGGGTTCTCCATATTCCTCCTCCAGCACAGGTAGAGAACGCAGCGACCCCTTGCCGGGACCCAGGGAGCAATATAAACTTCCGTAATGGTCACCAGTTAGAGGTCCAGTTGGTTTAAGGAGCCGGGGAGAGTTCAGGAGAGCTGTCAGGCCACCTAGCTGAGCTAGTAACCAGGGAATTTCTTCCTTACACATGGCTAAGAGGTTCAAGATTCCAGGGATGGAGATTGTCTTGCCGGGGAGTGGAGAGGAGGGGAGGCGTCATTTCAGAGGTGAAGAGCAAGCCGGAGACGGGGTAGAAGTGCTTTGGTCGACCCAGGAAAAGGGTGCAGGAGGTGGGAGAAGGGTGCAGGAAGCCCAGCGCTCTTCTTGAAAACAGTAGACGCCGCATAGACATCTGGCCAGTTCATTGGCCGAATAAATGAAGGACCAACAGGAGGGGAAAGTGAGCCCGCTCCAGAGTGTGGATTTCAAACACCCCCTTTTCCCAGCGATGACTCTCCCAGCAGCTGAGAGCAACTGTCTTCAGCTCTGCTTCAGGCCGGGCCTGCGGCTCCTGGAGAGACGGGGACAGACCGGGTACAGACAGGGCAGCCTTGGCCTAGAAGTGATGTGGGGAGCATCCTCCCTGCCGCCCCCAGTCCATGGTTTGGTCCCGCTGCAGTTCCGCTCCCTTCTCTACCCCCGCGTGCTGCGGGGCTGCCTCTCCCGGGCAGGCAGTGGGGCAGGGCCACTGCGTCTCTGCTGTGGTGCTGGGTGCTTGGTCTGGGCGGGGCCCCCGGGGGTTGGGGGGTGCAGCCTGAGGCCTGTGACACAGCTTGTCACAGCATTAAATTAACCAGAAACGCAGTGAGGGGCTCAGAGTGGTCTCACTGCTGCCATGCTCTAACCAGCCAGTCGGCTGACAGATTCCTCCTCAGGAAAGGTTGCACTTGAGTCATTTTCTGAAGCCAGTGACATTTGGCGTTCAGCCTGGAGTTTCCCTGGACGGAATCAGGGAAGGAGACCAGAAAATGGGCATCATTATTTCATTATTAACTTGCCAGCTCTTCGCTAATCTGTACCACGGATCTCTCTCTCTCCCTCTCTCTCTCTCCCTCTCTCTCTCTCTCTCTCTCTCTCTCTCTCCGCCCCCCCCTCGATTATCAGCAAAACCAGAGGTTGTAAAGCCAAAGACTCCCTTGCAGGGTCTGTAAAGTGAAGTTGATAATACTTACCTCATTGTGCTGTTTGAGGATTTAATTAAGTAACTCCAAAGTCACGGGAGAAATGCCAGCCAGGGCTGGCGGGAGGGGCTGACATGAAGAGTGTGTCAGAAAGGAGTAACTCACCAGGTAGGGGAGCCACAGGGCCCGCCCGCCCTGGCTGGTGGCTGTGGAGGCACCAGCCCCAGGAGGGGGCTTTCGCAGACCCGGAGGTGGGGAGGGCTGCCTTGCAGGGACCGTGGCCTCCTTGTCTCCTCCCTCCCTCCCTCCTTCCCTTCTGGCTGGGCTCCCAGTTGTGCAAACCCAGCAGAAGCCCGAGGGCATGGAAGCCCGGGTGTAGTCCACTCCAGGCAGCCTCTAGGGATGCAGCCTGGTGGAGGAGGTGAGCTGTAGGCTGAAACAGAAGCCGCGCGGCTTGGGAAGGGCTCCAGAGATGAGAGCTGTTGTGACCCGTCACTTCTGGTCCAGTTGAGAGCCTGTCAAGCCTGGAACTTGAACGTTTCTGGAGAGCAGTCATCTTGTTTAGCCACAAAGCAGTGGTCTATCCCGTCCACATAGTACGTGCCAATCAGTGCTCGCTGAACAGTAGGCAGGTGCTGGAAAGGGCACGAAACACTGACTTGCCAGCAAGTGTAACGTTGGAATGGAATGGAATAGAAAGCACAGTGTATTCAAAAATGGCGATGTTGTACATTTCAGTGGTACGTCCCAGATGGAGAGAGAATACAAAACAACTATGGCTTTATCCGTTTCTTACGTTTCCTCCCCCAGTGAGTTTGCATCCAGGGGCTTCTTGCTGACCCCTGCACGCTGTCTCTGATGTCTGTGGGTTTTCTCTGAAGTCGCAGGGGCTCTTGCTGGCGGGGGGAGGCTCTGGGTGGATGGAACCTCTAACAAATCATTGTTAGGCCGCGGGGGCCTGGGGTGTTAGGGAGTAACGCGGCCCTGTAGGGCTGTGTCCCAGACCAGGGCCCTTGCCCTTAGCACTGGGCTCCCTAGTGGCCGATCAGACATTTCCCTGTGCTCTGTGGGGTGACTGCATACGTGCACTTGTCAGGCCCGGCAGGGGAATGACCTTCTGCTCGGGAACCTGCCTAACCTGCTCCGTAAAGATTTCCAAACTGTTCTGAAGCAGCAACTTTAATGTATTCTAACCTCATGCCTGGCCAGATTTTTCTGGTTTCTGGTAGCTGTTTGGAGACAAGGGTAAAGCCCAGGTAATTCAGTAGTGGGCAGAGCAAACAGCAAAGTCCATTGGGCCTCAGGTCGCTACTGGTTAGCCTGTACTTTGCTGTCCCCAACTAAGGCTCTGGGAACCAGCTGTTCCTGGGCCCAGGAATCTGCAATTTTACACCTCGCCATTGGTGTGACATCCGGGCTTGTTTTGGCAACAGGATTCCTGGAAGCAGAGCAAAAAAATATATTTAAAGAGGATTTAAGCTTAAAGATGTCCTACCTTCTATTCTAAGAACCTGCTTATTTCCCACTGAAAATATGAATGAAAGGTTAGCCTTTAGTTTATCTTATTTATGAAATAATTTCATGCTTACGTTTTCAATACGACATTTCACGACACGTTGCTCTTTAAAAGCTGGTAGGAAAGCACATGAGCTGACCACTTTGAAAACCTTCTCTGTCAGCCAAAATCAGATTCTTTTCTTTATTTAGGACGATAGTGGTTACAGGGAGGTTGCAGTGGAGCACCCGTCTAATCCGCCCCCCGCAAACGTGAGATAAACTCAGCACCAGGAAAACAGGCACCCTCAGCTGTCGGCCTGCGGCCGAGCCATCCACTACCGAGACCCTCGAGGGACCACTGATTTCGAAGGGGTGGCTTCTGCGATGCGGGCCTTGGAGCCAAAGTCCGGCGGGGCCTGACGTCAGAGGGCCTGTGTGGACTTTGGTGCCAGGCCCGCTTTCCCAGCCCTCAGTGACTCGGTGACACGGTGACATGGTGGGGGTCAGGGGAACATCCAGTGATCAAAGAATCAGGGAGAAATCTGTCCTGTGGGAAGTTGGAGGGCGGACGGGAATCCACACCTGACTTTAATCCTTAAATTCCCAGGTAGATCCTTTAACCCTTTGTGTTTCAGGATTTAAGAAAAAAAAAAAAAGAAATCTGCTGAAAACACAGATTGGGGCTGGTCTGTAGGCGTGCTGAGGGTGTGGCCGGAAGTTTAGGCCTGGCTTGTGCTGGAGCCCGGAGCCTGCAGTTAGGAAGAGCTGGGCTTGTCCTACTTCACAGCCCTTCCCAGCCCTGAGCCCAGAAGGAGGGCTCTCCAGGTCTGGGGTGAAAGGAAGAGCTGGCGGCTTCTGACCCCAGCAGGGGTCTCTGGCCGCGTGTGCTTTGTGTCCTGAGTGTGTGCGCCCAAGGGCTGCATGATGGACATGTGTTTATCACTCACAACACACAACGTACTGTTCACAGAATTCCTGCCAGGAACTAACCCCAGTGCCCCTCTTCCTGCCTGGTGAGCGGGGCCGGTGCCGGGCTATACCTGTGACCCCTCCTCGGACTGGGGACCACACAGCAGCTCTGGGACCGGAGGGAGGGGCGGGTGAAAATCACAAGACCCTGGGCCAGAGGTCCGGGCCCTGGAGGACCCTGCAGCCCCAGCCTGGGGCACCCTGTGCCGCTTCGCGATGGCCCGTGGTCTTTTCCTGATGGAAAACTCACCTGGGCTCCATATCTATGTGTTAGCATACGGTGTTTGTTTTTCTCTTTCTGACTTACTTCACTCTGTATGACAGACTCTAGGGCCATCCACCTCACTACAAATAACTCAATTTCATTCCTTTTTTTGGGCTAATATTCCGTTGTGTATATGTGCCACATCTTCTTCATCCATTCAGCTGTCGATGGACACTTAGGTTGCTTCCATATATGTATATGTATAGCTGATTCACTTTGTTATACAGCAGAAACTAACACACCATTGTAACGCAATTATACTCCAATAAAGATTAAAAAAAAAAAAACCTCACCTGGGGCCCCTCCGACACCCCGGCATCATAGGGAAGTGCAAAGAGGGGGTGAGGTGCCCGGAGGCTGCCCACCCCGCCCTTCCCTTCAGGAATTTTGCTTCCTGCCCTGTGCTGGCAGTGCACCCTCAGACCGCCCTCATACCCTGCTTGGGGCCAGGCGCTGGAGGAGGTGTGTTCGCACTGTGTGTGAGGGAATCGTGCCAGGGAAGCCTAAGCCCACTCGGAGCCCCGGCTGATGCAGCAGAGGACGGCTTTGCACAAACAGGACGACGGTGCTGGTGACCAAGTGGGGCCCCGAGCTTCCTCAGCCGGAAGGAGAAAGCTGCCCAGTGTCCGGTGTGAGCCGTGCGGACACCCGCCCATAAGTGGGTGAAAAGGACACTACACAGCAGACAGGGCTCAGACCACCATCCCGGGATCCAGCTGGGAGGAGGGAAAACACGAACAGAGGAGAGAAAAGGGCGAAAGGTCAGAGATGAGCAAAGTGGAGCTGATGAGAACTCTGGAAGCACGTGGGGGGAAAATGACTTGCTGATTCATGGGCCCCATTTCACCTCACGACTGGGTGTCAAGAGGGCAAGCTGCTTATCAGGAGAGGTCAGAGGCTGCGAGGAGGCCTGCTGCCCCGATGAATCCTTCCACACCCGCGACGCGGAGGACATGAGGGAAGGGTTCTTGGTGCCGAAGTTTTAACGGCTTCTCAGGATAAAACCGGACCATGTGTGAAGTCATAAACACCCGTCCTCTGACCAGGAAGACAGAAATCCACAGACCCAGTAAACACACCATTGTCCTGGGCTTAAATAAAGGCCTCTTCAAATTTCCACTGCCTTTTGAACGTTTTACTTCCTTCCCTGTGGGCTTTGCGTATGTGATCTAAGGAGCGGGGCCTCTCTGCAGATAAGCTTCTTACAAGATAGCCGTGGTGAGCTCTTAGCAGGGCTGCTCACCTGCTCTATCCTGATTCACGTATTTGTCTCCCTATGTCCCTCTGTTCCCCTATGTCCAGAAAATAAAACCCATCCTAAGGGACAAGGATTTTCCAGTGAGAAAAATTCCAAAGATTTTTATATAGTCTTGAAAGTAATTCAGAAAAGGACTTGCATTTGAACAAATTGCATTTGCAAAGGAATGCTTTGAACAAAGGCTGCATTGTTCAAGTCCACTTGGTGGCTGCTTTGAAGAAACTAAAGTTTACTTGGGTTTTTAAGTTCTTCTGCATTTGCTTACAGCAAAAAAAAAAAAAGAGAATTCATACCACATGCTGCGCATACCTTATCCCATCAGCGGTCCTCTTCCTGGACTCCTGCAGACACCCATGTCCCTCCACTTCACCTGGCCAGGACCCGGGTTGTCTCCCATCCAGACACAGAGCACCTGGAGGGCAGGGTCAATGGCTCAGAATCCAGACATGTAGGATAAAGGGGCGTTGTGCTACTTCCAGACATCTAGGAGGTACAGTTTGGATGCTGAAATGTTGGGATTTACAAGACGTAAATCCCAACTGTTCATGAGAACCATAGGACCGTGGACTTGAAATGGGAAGTGTAACAGAAAATCCAGGATGAACACAGCTTTCACGTGGTCATATTAATTACTTTAAGAGGTGGTTGCTTTGAACCCTTCTCTGGGAAAATAGAAGTTTTGCTGAGAAACAGGAGCGACAACCGTGGAGCGTGGCTGTCTTGGCGTATCGGGACACTGGTGGTGGGTGGGGAACTGGGGTGAGAGGGGACAAGGAGATGACTGTTACTTGGCAACATGAAATAGCGGAAGGCAGGTTTGAGGCATCGGCAGCTGGAGCAAACACAGCCCACCGTCCATTCCTTGTAACAGCCCAGGTTTTGTTCAGGGCAGCAGTGTGCACTTCAGGCACCCAGCCTCCCAGACTCCCTTGCAGCTACGACTGACCCGGTGACACGTTTCAGCCAATCAGATGCAGGTGGAGCCCCTGGGCAGGGCATGCAGGAAAGCTTCTCCGAGAAGTAACTGCCAGGGATCATTTTGACCTTTGCCCTTTGCCCTTCTCCCCAGGACACAGAGCTGGTAGTTACAGATGGGAACCATCTTGCCAAGCGTGACAGAACAGGGATATAGAAGAAACCTGGAACCTGGTTACATGACGGAGCTGCCGTGTCAGCCTTGGGTGGCTTTTCTCCAAATCTCCTGTTATGGGAGAGAAATAAACCTCTATTGAGTGAAGCCAGCATGACCAGTCGTCAGGTCTGCGTGGCTGGCCAAACGCAAGCCTGGTTTATGCAGCCCTGTGGGAGAAAGGACGCGAGCAGGCGGCCTGAGTTCTCGCTCTGGCTCGGTCCTTATTTATTTACTCTATGACCTCAGGCAAATCACCCAGTTCTCCTGGGCATCAGGAGACAGCTCTCTCCAAAGGCTCCAGGGGAGTACCCTTCCTTGCCTCTCCCGGTTTCTGCTGGTTGCCAGCAATCCTGGTGTCCTTGGCTTACAGGTGCATCCTTCCAATCCCCACCTCCTTCTTCATGGTGTTCTCCTTATGGGTCTCTGTCGACATTTACAAAGACACCAGTCAGATTAGGGCCCACCCCGATCCAGTATGACCTCATGTTAATTTGACTACATCTGTAAGGACCCTATTTCCAAATAAGGTCACATTCACAGGGGTTAGGACTTCACCCTATTTTGGGGAGAGAGGGAGGACACCTTCCAGCAAGAGGTTCTTTCACTGCCATATGTTACATCAAAGGTACTGCAGAAAGTCATGTTTTTTAAAATTTTAGATTTGGATTTTAAAGACATATAAATTAGTTGTTAAAATGTCAGAATACTGTTTGCTTGCTAACCACCGGAACTATAAAACTAAACTCTGGCCATCTGGAAAGGTAGAAAACACCTCCTACAAAGAGTCAGCTGCTCAGGCTTTCCCGGGTTCTGACACTGCTTAGCTATGTCACGTAGAACAATCTGCTTTATTGACGTAACTATACTTGTTCCAAAGTCTGTAACCCACAGGGTATAGACCACTGTTAAGGCCCTTTCTGATTCTAATAACCTGTGGCTGCAAATGCCATAAGTTAAAGCCATCTGCTTTGGTTTTCACGTGTATATTTGTAGGGGTAAAAGGTCCTTCAATTTTGTGTTTGGTAAACACAAGCCTAGTAGTCTAGGTTAGAGTTAGTTTATATTCCAGCCGCTGTTACCCTTGAATACGGTGTTGGATTCGGGGAAGGTCAAGCGCTCTGACGGATGCTAAGATGCTCAGACAATCAATCCACACTTTGTTCTTCCTACAGGAAGAGAGGATATTTTCAAAATATAAAAGGCTCATTGATGTCAGAAAGTGAAACTAGTGATTCAGCTATAGGGTTTTCATGTTCAAAGGCCTTAGCGGGACGGGGTAAGAGGTTCCGGAACCCAAAACAAATCGGGTCAGATGTCGAAGCAGAACTCCTTGGATCGAGAGCACCCTCTCTCTGCTGAGGTCAAACGTTCTTGTTCAGAAGTTTGGTTTCATGTGTGTTTCTGTCTGTGTGTAGGTCCTTCTGAAATAGCTCTCTGTAGTTTATGAGGCTTTCAGGACCATAGTCAAGCTAGGGATTGTTTGTGAATCTCTGCAGTTCACTTAAGTGAAAAAGCCAAGAATTAATATGATGGGGGGGCGCTCACAAAATCTGGGCTAATTTTCTAACTTCTTTACTGATGAGCACTCTGCTCCTCTGATGGTTCTCTGCTGCATTTGATTTTATTTATTTATTTTATTTTTTGTTTTGTTTTGTTTTGTTTTGTTGCGGTAGGCGGGCCTCTCACTGTTGCAGCCTCTCCCGTCACGGAGCACAGGCTCCGGACGCACAGGCTCAGCGGCCATGGCTCACGGGCCCAGCCGCTCTGCGGCATGTGGGATCTTCCCGGACCGGGGCACGAACCTGTGTCCCCTGCATCGGCAGGTGGACTCTCAACCACTGCACCACCAGGGAAGCCCTCTGCTGCATTTTAAACATTGCGATCACTAAAGTATCTCTGTTTCCTATGATCTTGAAGAGGAGTGGTGAGAATTAATATTTTAAAAGTTAACTTATTATGTGTTCTGAGGAATTCTAATGAAGGTCACTCTTTAACGTTGGGCCAATGCTTTTGACTCTCCCACCACTTCCTGCTTCTCTGTACGTTCTAGTCACCCTCGGCTCGTGAACGGGTCATGAGATTTCACAAGCCCACACTCCCTTCTATACCTGACAAACTCCTACTCATTCCTCAAAGCCTTACTTGACCTCTCCACCTGGGCTAATCCTTCTCTCCCCCATGTTCCAAAAATACTTTGCATGTTCCTCCAGTATAGAGCTTTTCAGTATAACATGACTGTCTGCTGGAATATAAACACTGCTTGAGGGCGGGCCTGGGTCCTGTTTGTCCTTGCAGCTTCAGTGCCTTCTATCCAGGAGGTATTTAATGGATATTTGTTACGTAGTAAGAAGTAGGACAACCTGTAACCGTTGTTGCCTTTTTAATTTTTTTTTTCTTTTTGCGGTACACGGGCCTCTCACTGCTGTGGCCTCTCCCGTTGCGGAGCACAGGCTCCGGACGCGCAGGCTCAGCGGCCATGGCTCACGGGCACAGCTGCTCCGCGGCATGTGGGATCTTCCTGGACCGGGGCACGAACCCGTTTCCCCTGCATCGGCAGGTGGACTCTCAACCACTGCGCCACCAGGGAAGCCCCTAAAATTTTTTTATTAATTTATTTATTATACAGCAGGTCATTGTTGCCTTTTATGTCAGTAACTGTGAAGCCTCAGATGGGTGAGAACAACAGACCCAGATGTACTGTAAAGTGAACGTTGTCAATTTTTTTTCTGAATTCATCACTTCGAGGGCGATAATGTGCTGTTTTGGGGCACACTAACCACCACTTGGGCAAGTCTGGTGTTTTCCTTTTCTTCGAAACTGCTGTTTAACTCGGGCTGGCCAGTGGAGTGTTGGGTGTTGGAGCTGTTTATCCACGGGCTCAGGCATCTCAGAGGGACCTTGTAGAAACAACGCCCTAGAAACAGCGTTTCCAGGATTGAGCTAAACATGACTTAGAAACGCTCTGCGGATGCCCCAGCTTGTGTGATTAGAAAAAAGTAGACCAGGTAGTGCTTTCTTCCCCATTTTTTCACTTTTCACTAGAAACAATCCAGCAAGTTTTTTCCAATTATGATTTACAGTCCTGATGTTAGAGCAGCTTTGGACAGTGTTAATCATTTGCAGGGAACATTGTTTTGTTTTTTGTTCTTTTGCTTTTAGCCTTTACATTAAAATAATTTTAACCTTAAAAAATGTTATAAAAGTAGGAGAGAGGTGCCGTGTATCCTTCACCAGCTTCCCCTGATGTTGACATCTGGTGTGACCACAGTGCTGTGATCCAAAGAGGATGTTCACACTGACACAGTTGTACTTACTTTATTTGGAATTTGCCATTTCTCCCACTAATGCCGTTTTCTGGTTCAGCGTCCAGCCTGGGATCCCTATTACATTTTATTGTCAAACTAAACTGTTTTCTCTAACTGCTATGTTTCTTTAGTCCCCTTGCCTTTCATGACCTTGACAGTTTCAAAGAGCCACATCAGTTATTCCCTCCAGGGAATTGTCAGGGATTTGTCTGACGTTTTCTCACTTTATTTTTTTATTTTTATTTTAAAAAATATTTATTTATTTATTTGGTTGCGCCGGGTCTTAGTTGTGGCTCGCAGGCTCCTTAATTGTGGCATGCGAACTCTTAGTTGCCCCGCGGCCTGTGGGATCTAGTTCCCCGACCAGGGATTGAACCTGGGCGCCCTGCATTGGGAGCACAGAGTCTTAACCACTGGACCGCCAGGGAAGTTGTTTCCTCACTTTAGATGGAGGTTATGCATTTGCGGCAGAAATACCACGGAAGAGATATTGTGCTGTTCTCAGGATATGTAAAGATATTGTGCGGTTCTCAGGATATGTCAAGAAGTTTCACATTGGCTTCTTCTGTGAGTGCTGGAACCTGCTCGTTGAAAGATAACTGCTCTTTTTTTTTTTTTTTGTATTTATAATCTCTGGATTCTCAGGAATTTGGTAGCTCACTCGGTGACTTAGTGTTTGGAATCATGATTCATGAACCAAGTTTCCGTTAGGAGGTCGTTTCTTTCCCTGCCTCTGGGGGATCAGAAACGCCGGGGCTGGCCTTCCTTCTCTTTGTCCTGCCGGCAGAGCCTCATCATCAACCAGCCCCTCCTCTTGCCCACGCAGCTCTCAGTTCCACCCCCGCCTCTTACTGACTCCACACTGCTTCTGGGGCTGGGTGCATCGGGAAGCTGCCCCCCTGCCCCAGGGACAATCATGTGGGTCTAGGTCACGTTTGGGAGGGGAGCCTGGGCAGGCAGAGGGAGGAGGGAGGAAGACTGGGTGCTCAGGCTGCAGCCCCCGCCTCCATCGGGCCAGGGCTGCTCCCAGGGGCCTCGCTGTCTGGCTTTCCGGCCCTTCCAAACCAGAGGATGCCCTGGGAGGAGGGTCACCATGTCTGTGGTAGAATCTCTGGGCAGCTGTGAGAGCTGGAGGCCTGGGGGCCAGCACGTGTCTGCCTACCTCTCTCTTGTCTCCACCCCGCTTTTCTCCAATATTAAAAAAACATCCTAAGTGGAAGGTGGGGCCTGGGGAGGGGAGGACTTCAGAATGAAGGTTTTGTGGAGGTACGAATCCTCTGATACTCTGGCAGTGCTGACATTGGTATACTCTCTTATTTATTTATTTTTGCTTTGCATTAAAAATTATTTTTTTATTTTATATTGGAATATAGTTGATTTACGGTGTTGTGTTAGTTTCAGGTGTACAACAAAGTGATTCACTTATACGTATACATGTATCTATTCTTTTGCAAACTCTTTTCCCCTTTAGGTTATTAAAGAATACTGAGTAGAGTTCCCTGTGCTCTACAGTTGATCCTTGTTGCTATACTGTAATTTTTTTTTTTTTTTGCGGTACGCGGGCCTCTCACTGCTGTGGCCTCTCCCATTGCCGAGCACAGGCTCCGGACGCGCAGGCTCAGCGGCCATGGCTCACGGGCCCAGCCGCTCCGCGGCATGTGGGATCTTCCCGGACCGGGGCACGAACCTGTGTCCCCTGCATCGGCAGGTGGACTCTCAACCACTGCGCCACCAGGGAAGCCCTGTAATTTTTTGGATCAGTTG